AAAAAAAAAAAAAAAAACAATGCACATAAAATAAAATTTAAGAAAATAAATAAATGAAGGATAGAGGAATACCCTCAAAGTCCACCTCTACCTTGTGTGGACACATGTACACATGCACAAAATAAGAAAATAAATGTCATTTTTAAAATTAAATTTTTAGAACAGTGCTGGGGAGCTGGCCCCTTGGGGGGAAGGAGCAGTAAGCGAGGCTCTTTCCATACCTGTCGACTTCAAAAGGGGGAGTTCTAGGGTCAAACCAGAAATCAGCTCTAGTGACTTTGCTGGTATTGGCTCCAGAGACACTGTGGAGGACAAAGTTCTCAGGCATTCTCATGATTCCCATTCACACGTCAGACACTCTCTCCGGTTGATTAAAGCAGGAATCAGCAAATTCCTCCCGTTGAGACCCAGATTGCCAATATTTAGGCCACACAGTCTGGAATACAAACCACGTGATCCTGCCAGGGTGATATCAAAGCAGCCAGAGACACTCTGGATCAGTGGATGAGGTTGGTCCGGTGACATTTATGGACGTTACACGTGAATTTCTTCCAGTTTTTAGACACCGTAAACCAGTGTCCTTCTCATGTTTCCCAAACATTTGAAGTGATTATTCTTTGGAGGCCATGCAGACAGGACAAGGAAACCATATTTGGTTCATGGACCGTACTTTACCAACTACAGGGACAGAGAGCCATACACCCTTACAGCAGAAAGGATGCCCGCTGTGGGTTGATCCTGAGGAAGGGCCTTTTTACTGGCACGGGGAGCTGGAGTAGGAAGAGTAAGTCCTGTGTTCCAGAACCGGAGGACGGGGAGGTATCATCTGGTCTCTCTTGGCTGGCCCTAGACCTGCCCACTCTCTTCAGCACATGCCAAGAGGAGTATCTTGCTCTATACCAATGCCCCCTGCCAGGAACCCAGGCACTGAGAACCCTGGAACTGGTCCCTTCCTGCCCTCTCTTTGGGGACTTGGTCCCAAAAGAAGGCAGCCACTGTTTTGAGCAGCTGCCTTCTCCACTGTAGCAGGACCCTCTCTCCACCTTTCTTGATACCCCACTCTTCTATTCCTCCCAGTTCACAGGACAGCCCTCCCGGATCTTACACAAACAAGATCGCCTGGGCGCTCTCAGCATTTTCAAGTGACCTCTTAGACTTTTTTCCCTTTTGTTATACAAGAGTGGTTGCTTGTTAGCATCCTCCTCCCAGTAAAGATGCTGGTAAACAGAGAGGGAAACATTCAGCATTTCAGAACTGAAATTTCTCTGTGTTAATGGAAAAATCCCAGCTAATGCAACGCAGCTGGTGAAATAAAACTCATTTAAACTCGGCTGGGGAAAGGAAGACAATTTTGTTAGCAACAGATTTTTCTTACTAATTGCATTTGTTGTTGCGTTTGCTGGTTTGCCTCTTCCAATTCTGGCATTCCCTAAGAAGAGGGCAGTATCTGGCGACAGGAAGACGTCTGTTAGTCTGGCCTTGGAGATGCACTTGAGATAATCCGCCGCAGAGGGGAGGGCCTCATCACCAAGTATTTATGCCCTAGGATACTGCCTGAAAGATAGGCTTGACTCTCTGGCTTTTTTCCTAGGTCCTTCCATAGTGACGCCCCCCAAGGACATCTGGAACATTACTGGTGCCAAAGTGTACTTGAGCTGCGAAGTCATCGGAATCCCAACCCCTGTCCTCATCTGGAACAAGGTCAGCAGCACAGGCTTCAGGAAAACATCCCGCAAGTTGGGGAGCGTCTCTTGCATGGCCAGGGCGGTAGGAATGCACAGTTCGGGCCGTACCACTGCCTACTGCTCCTCAGAGAGGACGCCTGTGGCGACCGATACCACCTCTACATTAGCAGATAGCTTTCCTGACCTCCGTCTGTCCCCAACCTGATTTTATTAGCTAACAGTGTCCAAACAGGGAGTCTCAGAAACTCAGAGAATCGTGATAAACCTCCAAAGTCACTGTGTTAGTTATTTTTGCATGGCTGCCACCAAAATCCCTGACAGAGTCACTGAAGGGGAGAAAGGTTTATTCTGGCTTCCAGCTTTGGAGGGTCACAGTCTACACAGCAGGAAAGGCATGGTGGGGCATCCCTCAGTCCGTTGTGGCAGGACCAAAGAGCAGGGGCTGTTCCTATGGCAAGAGACCAGGAAGAAGAAAGCAGCTGGGGCAGAGGCCTGGCTGTACCTTTCACGCCCACGGGCCAGACCTCACCTACTAAAGGTTCCACAGCTTCTCCACATAGCATTGCCAGCTGGAAGCACACATTCAAAACAGGACTCTATGGGGGCAATTTCAGATTCGAATCTTAACACACACCCTCTGGGTGCCTGCACACATGTGTATGTAGGTGCGGGTTTGAATGTACGTGTGGTGAGATGACAAATCCCCCCACTCCCCGCACTACCACCACCACCACCAAGAGGAGACTACAGCATAATGATTAGGAATCTAAGTCCTGGGGCTGGAAAGATGGCTCAGTGGTTAAGAGCACTGGCTGTTCTTCCAAAGGACTGGGGGTCAATTCCCATCACCCACAGGGCCGCTCACAACCTTCTGTAACTCCAGTTCCAGAGCATCTGACACCTTCTGATCCCCACAGGCATCCGGCACCCATGTGGCACACAAAGGCATTCAAGCAAACATTCATACACACAAAAATGGACAATAGTCAATGATTTTGTGTGTTTAGTGTTTGGTCAGACTCTGGGAAGGGGTTTGGCCCTATCGTCAGAAGTCTCTGTATAGAAATTTAATTCATATAACAGAGGGAGAATATAGAGAGAAAAGAAAAATAAGGTAATTCCAATAAGGACATCCTGACGGGATCAGGACTGGAATTCTTGACCTCCATTCTCACCCTGTCAGCCTCCCTTTCTCCTTAGAAAGCGTCCTCCTCCACAGTGGGCGGAATTACCATCACAGTTTAAAGACCTCAGAGGCAGCAAAGCTTCCCCAGCTGCCTGGTGAGAACTTAGACCACATCGCGTCTCCTGGCAGCCTCTGGCGCCCCCGTGTGGCCAGAGGGATTCGGCCTCTTCGAAACCACGGGGCTTGAGAGCAGTTAGCAGGAAACGCCTGGACCATGGATGGCGTAGGCAGAGGTGACCCAGTTCCAGCACAAGCTGATGACCCAGTTCTAGTACATCCGTCCTTCACAGCTGGAACTTCCGTTAAAGGGAATAATGGCATTTTGCCTCTCTAAACTGTGCTTTGGAACGAACGAGACGTGGAGGGTCAGCTAGGCATGGCAGCAATGTGGTCGGGAGAATGAATGTGTTCGTTCATCTAGGTTTTTCCCCATCAAGTTGAAGCTCCCCAATGCTTATTTGAGGCCAGGGGCTTGGAAGGAGCGGGGGCAATGGCTGATAGATTCTGGTAAGAAGCTTTGTTGTTTCTTTATGGGTCCCCAAGAATTTACCAAATGAGAGGCCAGGGTGACTTTAGGGCCATAAGTATAGCCTTGTTGCCAAATCTTGCAAAGAATAAAGCCTTCCTTCAGTTCTGGCTCTGTAGCACCCCAGCAAAGGGCACACCATTCCAGGAGAATGCCTTGGGAGTTTTTGGAGGATTGGTGCCTGCATGGACGAGTCCCTCCGCCCAGGAATGCTGATGCCAGGGTAGACAGGTCCGAACACCCAGGAGTGTTGGTGCCTGAGTAGACAGGTCTTCCTAGGGACACCTAGAGTGTTGGTGCCGGCCTAAACAGGTTTTCCTAGGGACACCAGTCATTGAGGAGGGGAGCTAGGGCTAGGGGACTGGAGAGAAGGAACTGGAAAAAAAAAAAAAAAGTTTTAAGTTTCCGAGTGCTTGTTTTACTGTTTATTTTTGTGATGCTGGAGGTTAAACTTAGGGCCTAGCGTGTGCTCTAAGCCATGTCCTCTGTGGGAGGAACCAGTCCTCTGTGGGAGTCACCCAGCATGTGTGAGGCCCCGGGTTGGATCCCCAGCATGACAGAAACAAGACATGGTGCCACATGCCTTGTAATACCAGCTCTCAAGAGGTAAAGGCAGGGAGGTCATGAGAAGTTTAGCTATTTAACAAGTTTAAGGCAAGCCTGGGCTACATGTCTTTAAAAAAAATGTTTCTTCGGTAACTAGCAAGGAGCAAATACCAAAGTGGGAAGCTCCAGGGATTTGCCTATACCTTTGCAATGTGCCGTGCCTCACACAGGACCCAAAGCAGTGGGCTCCTAACGGCAGCATACAACCCGTCAAGGAGACCTGGAACTAATACAGCAATTGCTTCCGGTGTTCTCATAAGAAATAAAAACCAGAACTCAGAATGTGTCAAAGCATCACATTTACTTCTTGTTAAGGTATCATATAACAGTGTGATATAGCCCAAATCCCAACGTACTTTAAAAAGCATTGCTTTGTGCTGGGCAGTGGTGGCACATGCCTTTAATCCCAGCACTCGGGAGGCAGAGGAAGGAGAATCTGTGAGTTCAAGGCCAGCCTGGTCTACAAAAACTAGTTCCAGGACAGGCTCCAAAGCTACACAGAGAAACCCTATCTTAACATACAGGAATCTAATCTACATGGGAAGTAGAAAAAGGCAAGGTCTCCTGAGTAAATTGGGAGCACGGGGACCATGGGAGAGGGTAGAAGGGGAGGGGAAAGGAAGGGAGGGGAGTGGAGAAAAATACACAGCTCAATAAAAAAGAAAAAGAAAAAAGAAAATACCTATATTTTATTGGAAATATAGTTTGTTTATAGCATTAACTTGTTCTTTTAAAAGATAAATTGGGCATGGAGGCTTGCATCTATAATCCTAATACTCAGCAGATGGGGCAAGAGACTCAGTTCAAAGACAGACTTAACTGCATAGCAAGTTTGAAGTTGGCTTGTGTTACCTAAGACTTTGTCTCAAAAAAACTTAAAACCAAAATGAAACAAAAGATAATATATGTCAGACATTAAAACTTGTGCATTAAACCACAGTATTTAGGGGAGATTGAGGAAGGTCACAGATTGAAGCCAGGCTGGCTTATATGGGGAAACCATGTCTTACAAAAGTAAACACATTAATATGCAGTAAGTAAAATAAACTGAACTGTTATAGTATATTCTGAGATGGTTATGTTTTATTTCTTTAAATAAGCAATTTTAAAAAAAAGAAACCCTGTCTTGAAAAGCCAAAAAAAAAAAAAAAAGCATTTCTTTGTTTGGGCCATGACAAAATATCTGAAGTCACTGACCCAGATAGTCGCTGAGGCCAGTTGTTGCCTCCCCACGCTCCTGCAGCCAAACTGTTGGGAATTCAGACCTATTTCAGAGCACATTCTGTTTCAGATCTGGTTTACGTACAGAAGCAGGGTCTGGATAAAAGAGATTACTAGAGGTTGGACATGTGCACCGACAGAAGTCATAATCCCAGCAGTCTGAGCAGAAACCAGAGGGCTAAGAAGGCAAGGACTGTGGGTATCAGTTGGTGCCAGCACCCGTCAGGTAGCTCACAACTGTCTCTGCCTCCAACTCTGAGAGATCCAAAGATTCTGGCCTCCAGCGGTACCCAACCTCCCATGTACGTACATCAATGAGAATTAAAAGAACAGTGCTAACAAGAAACCACATCCAAAGATGTATAGAGTTCTGGAGTCATTGGCACTTTTTAAAATCTGTCCCTTATTTACAATAACAAGATTCTGGAAAAATCTGTTGTAAGCAAACCAAACTCAGAGCCAGGTGTCATGAAGTACGTCCTGGGGGGACTGAGACTGGAGAGTGGTGACTCTGAAGCCAACCTGAGCTAAGTGTCGAGAGATCCTGCAAAACAGATTAAAATAGGACAGCTAGATGCATAAATGACCTCACGGGCTCTCTAATTCTCCCCCAGTTGACGGTTTGTGAATAATGGGATTTTTTTTCAAAGAATCCTTGAGGGGGGGAAGAAGGTGACATTGGTGTCTCCCTCAATTGATCTGCACCCTATTTTTCGACCTAGAGCTCCCTGTGAGCTGAACTGGATAGCCAGCTAGCTACGGGGACGCTTTGGGCCCTGTCTACCCAATACTGAATTCTGCAGGCTCTGGCGGTAAAATGCTTCTCCCCAGATAGTACCTAGTTTATTAACATAAGCTGTTTCACCAGTAGCTTGGAGGATTCAAGGGAAAAAATGCCTGTCTGTGCATGTCTTCATAGCTTTCATTCGAGACATTAGATACCTCGTTTTCTGCCAGCGTTCAGGGAACGCGAGGGGAAGCCTAGAAAAAGATGAGTATGCACTTTGTTATAGAAAGAAAGGAACCTGACGCTGTACGGCCGTCTCATTACAAAGACAATCAAAATAAACACTGCCCTTGCGCTTAAAGAGGCCTAGATGGAATTAAAGAATATTGCTTCATGTACTTTTTTAATTCCGTTACCACAAGCCTTAAAATATTTATACTGAAACTGAGCTGCTAAATGCATTACCCCAAGAAAGGGCCTTTCCCCTATGTTCTCTACATATTTTCCAGAGTTCTTATTAACATACTTTGACCTTTAAAATAGGTGGGAAAGGACAGATGTGAAGTAAGGATTAGCCACACACCAAGGGAAGCGAATTTCCCCTTCACCCACAGCCTTCTGCATCTAGCCGTGGTATGAACAGAAACAGGCAGGCTTTATCACAGCAACATGCGACTTGGGGTTAGGGTCTTCAGGAATTGTTTTATGATTCCTTAACCCTCACAGCAAGTCGGAGACTGTGCTCTGGACTTCAGCTTCTGCTTCTCTTCGATGAAGTTGTTACAGGAAGGTCCCAAACATCAAGCTAGCACTGGGTGACAACTTGCCAGTCCGACATGGCACAGAAGACAAATAAAGCTCAGAACCAAGGAGCAAACTGTCCAAGGGCATTAGTGAGTGGGGCTTAAAAGCCGGGTGTGATGGTGCACGCCATTAATCCCAGCACTTGGGAGACAGGCAGACAGATCCCCCTGGTCTACATTCTGACTTCCAGGCCAGCCAAAGCTACATAGTGAGACCCTGTCTCCAGACAAAAGACAGCACTGCTGAAGTGAGACTGCCAGGAAGAAACAACTGTTTCCTAAGTACTAGGAAAGGAAGGGTCCGAGTCGATCGCTGGCTTCATCGAATTACAGTCTGGTGTGGTCTAGGATGTGGTGTTTCCTACTTGATGTTTCTCTGCAGAGAACCAAGTCTCTCCTTCTGTTTTCTCAGGTAAAAAGGGACCACTCTGGAGTTCAAAGGACAGAACTCTTGCCTGGTGACCGGGAAAACCTGGCTATCCAGACCCGCGGTGGTCCAGAAAAGCATGAAGTGACTGGCTGGGTGCTGGTGAGTACCGAGAGCTGGCAACAGCTTCATTCTCAGCAGTGGACACAGGAGTTGGCACACGTCATAGGTCACCTGCCCCAGACTATTTCCTCCCATTTCTTGGGAGCATCCCTGGCGTGGTGTTGCAGACACAAACGCGGGAAATAATGGAGGAGCTAAAGTTACTTTGTTTTAGGAAAAAATAAGAATTCTGTTTGCCTAAGTTCGAAACAGAATCCTCACAGAGAACTAAATGGTTTAAGCACTGATTTTGGTTATTGGTTAACAAGTATGTGATTTCACTTAACCTCTGGTCCTGTGGGTTTTACTCAGATCCTCGCACCCAGCAAGGCTTTCCCTCCAGCAGGTATGCGCAGCTAACCAAATTTCAGCTTTCACATTGTGGTCAAGAGCCACCCGTGACAATCGGATATGAGAGCCCCACAGGCCCTGACACAGGACTTTACACCAGCTCATAGCAGCTCACTTCCAACCCTCTGTTCATCCTAGGGACCCCCCATGTAACGGGGGAAGCCACTGGGAAGAGGAGCCCTCCACAGAGAACTAAAGAGCCTTTGTCTTTCACAGGTATCTCCTCTCAGTAAGGAAGACGCTGGAGAATACGAGTGCCATGCAGCCAACTCCCAAGGACAGGCTTCAGCGTCGGCCAAAATTACAGTGGTTGATGCCTTACATGAAATACCAGTGAAGAAAGGTAAATCATCTGACCATTTAAACTGAGTGGTGAGGGCATCAGGTCTAGGCATTCACCAGGTCCCATGCCCCCACGACGACGTGGCTGAGGACTCCTATGGTTGGGCAGCTTCCCCCTCACCTCACATCGAAGAATTGAAACTCAGACCTGACTGGGTGGCTTGTAACTCCCGTCGATGTAGCATTTGCCTTTGCCTCCTCCTCGATATCCACTTAAAAGGAAGTCATTGTGGTCAGTTTCGTCCTTCACTTTGAGCTTTTAAGAAAAAACAAAAAACAAAAAAAAACTAGACATGTCCCACAATTCCAGAGAACCTGAGTTCCATTTTGGGCACCCACGTTCCAGCTTCAGGGGTTGCTATGTTCTCTTCTGGCCTCCATAGGCACCCACACATGTATGGCACGTGTTCATAGAAAACGCATTATGCATGAATAAGAAATAAATCTTAAAAGAGACAGGAGAACATGCTGGCAAATACTCAACTCTGTTTTATTTCACTGCTATAAAGCTTCCTCCAAAGAACCCACCCTCCCGTGTCACCAGGGTGCTGCTTTAGGAGCAGACTGCTCTACTGGAATGCTGTCTGACTGGGCACTCCCTTAGACCAGGCAGTGACACCTCAGCTCGGGAGCATCGCCCTCCCTCCTGAGGCTGAGTGACCTGACTGCAGAGTTCCTTCGCCTCCGTGGGTTTGCACATTTATGGGAAAGCCCTCCACCCTTCACACATGACCATACAGCAGCACTGGCTCTTACATGTAAACCCACACAGCTCCAGTCCACGGGACTCTGGCGTGTCCTTATGATTACTCCCGCGTCCTTCATTCCCGTGCTTGTTTTCTCCACACACCCCCCCCCCAATGTGGTATGGGTGTTTTGCCTGCATGTATGTCTGTGATATGTGCATGCAATGCCCTCAGAGGCCAGAAGGGGGCATCAGACCCCCGACGAACTGGAGTTAAAGACAGATGAGAACTACTATGTGGGTGCTAGGAATCGAACCCAAGTCCTCTGGAAGAGCAGCCAGCGCTATTAACTGCAGAGCTGCTCCCTTAGGCCCTGTTTGTTTTCATGAAAGGATGAGATCTCTGGCACATGCCTAAATTCTCAGCACCTGGGAGGAGAGGCAGGAGAGTCATGAGTTCAAGATTTACCAGATCTACATAATGAGACTCTTTCTTAAAAACAAAAAACAGTAAAACAAAAAAGAGAAATAAGAGTGAGAGAACGGGTGGAGGAGGTCTCCCTACATTGCCCAGGCTAGCCCTTAACTTCCAGGTTTAACAATCCTCCTCCTGAATACTGGGTCTACAGGCACATTACCATGCCCCTGCCCGTTAGTCACATAATTTAACATTTTCATTGATTTAGAAACTGACAATCTGCCAATTATGTCCATGGATGTAACTAATTTTTATTTCTTTCTTAAACAGGTCAAGGTGCTCAGCTATAAACCTGCAAAACACATTAGCCTATGTAGCTAAAAGTGCTTCCAGACAGCTGACAACTCTAACCCTACTCTTGCCTGACAAGTTTCTTTTAAGCTCATCCACTAACACTTTATTACATCCAGCCGGTTTTACACAATCAAAGATAACACTACAAGACTATCTACAAAAATTTGTTTATTTACAAAAAAGCATGCAAAGCTTTAAACAAAACAAATAAAATTCTTATCACAACAGTAGTACATTCTGTCATTTTTTAAAACAACGATCGCAGAAACAAGACACTGATATTTACAGTGTCTCGCTGTGAGTGTCCCACAGTGATATTTACAGCGTCTCGCCGTGAGCCCACAGGACTAGATGCTCATCATGCGCGGCGCGATGCTCATGGACATAAGCTCCTGGAATAACAGTTTGCACGCGTAAGGCATTCGCACCAAAGAAATCTGCAGAGAGAAAAGAAACAGTAATCAGCAAAACTGTATTAAAGACCCCACCCTCTACTGCAATTCAGGTGAGAAATGCAAACGCCCTGTGCCTCAGTCTCCGTCCCAGCAGGTCTTAGTAGTTCCTCCTTTCTAAAGCCAACAAACAATATTCACCCTTCCTAGCTGATGAATTTTAAGTAAAGGCTTAAGAAAAAATTTTGGTTGGGCTGAAGAGATGCTCATTGGTTAAGAATACTTGCTGCTCTTCCAGAGGACCAGGATTGGATCCCCAGCAAACACAAAGCAGCTCATAACCACCTGTAACTCCAGTCCCACGGGATCTGATGCCCTCTTCTGGCCTCTGGGCACCGCATGCACATGGTGCACAGACATACATACATACAAGCAAAATATACTCAATAAGCATATTTTAAAAATTGCTTACAATTCCTCCTGCAAGACCTTACTATTTCAGAGATGAGCAGCTTAGAGAAATTGCTTTTAAGCTTGTTTTAGAAAAGTCAAATTATCTTTCCTTGTAAAACTAGTAATCTTAGAGACCTGCTATCAAAGCTGAAAATCCCAGCCTGTTCCACCATAAGAACAGCTAAACAAAAAGAATAAAGTGTACACGTACCTGGGTTTTGTTTCGGCAGCCCCTGCATTCGTATGTATGAGTTCTAGTGTTAGCAATTGCCATTATTCCACAAAGATTACAAACATGAACTTGATATGGATCTGATGCCTCAAACAACCTTTCTCTTAAAAACTGTGCTGCACCATGGGCAATCTGACAATCTCGTTCCATTTCTCCAAAACGCAGGCCACCATCACTGTCAATAAGAAAACAAGAGCGTGATTTGTACTTATTTATTTATTGTGTACATATGCAAATGCCAGTGTCTCTGCACATGTGTAGAAGTCAGTTCTCTCCTGGGAACTGAAATCATAACATTAGGCTTAGCAACAAGCACCTTTACCCACTGAGTCATCTCACTAGCCCTGTTTTTATCTTTTCTTATCAAGGCCTCTGTGACTAAAGACAAGTGTAGTAGTAGTACAGAATCAAGTTCTGATTCTTATGCCCTAGCAACCTCTCTAGCCTGGTGAGGAGGAGCAAAGCCAATCATTCAATATACATCAGAAGGTCTCCAAATGAAGTAGAAAACGTGCCCAAGTACAGCATACAATTTCCTCATCAAACACAGTGCAGTACAAAGCAAAGGCTCATCGTGCTATCATTTAACTTTCTAGAATTCAATTCTACACTTGAAAATGAATTTAAACAGACAATCTAAATAAAACAGCTTCTCAATAAGGGATCCCCCGCAACTGAGCCAGAAATGGTGAGTGCAGTCACAAGTACATAGTATTTGTATTTGTGAATAGGTGAATGATTACAGGTTCCCCAAGTGACATGCACTCAACAGCCACACACGCGTATAACAATGGCCTCCCTAGTGTAACACATGCACCTGTGAACTCAAGAACTACTCAACAAATTACTACAACAAAGCCTCACTAGTCAACCTCAAACAATGCTACGTAATGAACTTGCTGTTCTGAAAGTTGATGAACAGAGGTAGAGAGCATTTACCCTGCCTGTTACAGGAACAGCCTTAGACGTGTCTGTACAGCTAACAGCAGATGGACAGATAAAAATTAGACTCTCATCAGTTTGTACTCTCTAGTTCAAAGGTTTTATTCACACAATGATCAACAGCTACTACAGTCATGAAAAGAAAAGCTCCCAGATGCTAGAAGTAAATAATGCCATAAAGTGTTACTACCCAAGCCTCAAACTCCAAATCTCATTAAGCGTCCAAATGCAATTACCTCCTTACAGAAACCAGGAAGTCACAGGCCTGGGGTGCAAGCAGCGCATCCAGACAGTAAGCTCTCCCCAGGACCAACAATCAAGTTTCCTCAACTCATAAAATTCAAAGAAAAAAGTTTGAGGGCAACTGAACCCAAGGTCTCCTGAAAGCTAAGTGGGTAAAGATGCATCCAGTTCAACTCCTGGAAGCCACATGGTGGGAGAGGGAAACTGAGTCCAGAGAGTTGTCCTCTAACACACGCACACACACACACGCGTGCGCACACGTGCACAGACAGACATGCACACACACACACGCGCGCGCGCACACACACACACACACACACACACACACACGATGTAAAATTAAAACTGAGAAATATTTAAAAGGAACTTAGGAGATACACCAATTGCAAGCCATGCCTTTATTTACATCCTGACTACACAAAGCTTTCTTAAAAATATCCAATAAAGCTACATGTTGTTGCACACCTTTAATCCCAGCACTCTGAGAAGCAGGCCATCCTGGTCTACATATATTCAAGTTCCAAAACAGCCAGAACCACAGAGAGAAACCCTGTCTCAAAATAAAATAAAAAACCAACAAACAAAAATGCAATATGGTAAACCTGACCCCTAGATATTTGGTGATATTTAGGAGGTACTCTGTTTTTGATGTGTATGTTTGAGTACCCTACATCTGTGTGTGAGTACCATGAGTACTGCCTACACGCCTGGTGCCCTCAGAGACTAGAAGAGGGGGCCAGAGTTACAGATTTGAGCCACCACATGAGTAATAGGAACCAAACTCGGAGCCTTTGGAAGTGTGTGACATGCTCTTAACCACTGAGTCTTCTCTCAGTCTTGGGACCTTGCACATCAGTGGTGTATATTTACAAGTGTGGTTTGTTTTGTGTGTGTGTGTGGAATAGAACATTGCAAAATCTATAATTCAGTAAATTGGTATTTCCCAAATTATCTGATTATGCTATAAAGTGATGCATGTGACAGTTTGGCAGAGGCGGCAGTGTTGGGGATTAAACTCGGGACCTTACACATTGCCAAAGACTCTAGCACTAACCTACATCCCCAGTAAACCAATGATCTTACTAGATAAATAGAAAAACATCCACTGGTAAGGTTTCAAATTTTTCATTAAACTATCCCTTAATAAACAGAACTTGGTGGAGCTGGAGAGATGATGACTCAATAGTTAAAGCACTTGCTGCTCTTTCAGAGGCCTGGGTGTGGTTCCAGACATCCACCTGCAGCTGCGGTTTCAAAGGATCTGGCCTCTGCTATCACCAGACATGCAGATGATGCACATACACACATGCAGGCAAAACTCCCATACGCTTCTAAAGTAATTTTTAAAAAAGAAACTAATTTAGCTGGTGTGCTGCCAGTACTCACACTATTTGGGAGGTGCACACAGACACATGTGCGCATGCGCACAATGGGGGGCTGGGGGTGGGAACACGACAAAAAGGAAACCACCAATCCCCAAGCACAGTGGTGCACACCTGTCATCCTCACACTTAGGAGGCTGAGGCAGGAGGTTGCCATAAATTCGGAGCCAACTTGGCCTATATAGTGAATATCAGGCCTTTCAGGATTATATAAAAGGACACTATCGCATAAAAAACAAAAACCAACAACTTCTCAGACAGAACAGAGGCTGAGCTAAGCCATGAATTCCACTGGCTCAAAAATAAAAATAAAAAGATACTAGAGTAGCTTTTCAATTTAATAAAGCATCAAAAATAATATTCTTCCCTTTTCCAATCAGCTATCTAAGTAACATCAGATTTCCTCAAATACTTTAAGTATGAAAAAATACAATACTGGGCCAGAGACTGCTACATCCACAGCTGTCTCGCCAGTGTAGCAGAAATGCTGACTAGGCAGGCAAGTGTTGCTGGAGGATTGGGATCTGCGCGGATACAAACAAGACTGCTGAGGACATTTTTGAATTCTGCTCCACTATTAATTAAAACCTTAAATAAGTAGCCAGTTCTGGGAATTGGCAGAATCATCATTAGGACAATTCCTTGATGATGTGGAACAAAAGGAGTTAATTTTACTAGGAAAAACCTTAGAAGCTTTGGGCATTTGCCTGAGAAATATGTACAGTTGTAAATAGAAGGCCTATGAAACCTTTCTTATGGAAGAAAAAGACCTAAGCTGACAATATCTGAGCCTGAGAATTGAGAAGGGAGGAGAGTTGAGGTTAGTGATATAAAGTAAACTTCAGAGAGATTCAAGACTATGTATTAGAAATTTCCTAGCAGAAAGCTTTCCCAGGGAGATAATAGCCTTTTTCTTTCTCACCCAGGCACACATGGTCACTTAGCTCAAATCAACCAGCCACCTGCAAGCTGATAAAGATGGTCTAGCTCAAGGGCAGTGGTCTCTCTGAAGGCAAGAAGAAAAAATTTATTTTACAAAATATGAGAAAGCAGAAGTCCTTGTGCCCAAGTCAAAGCATCTTCAAAGATTCTTTTTGTAAACTGTTTTATGCTGTTCTTTTCTGTTTTATGATTTGATGATGTATGGCTTTGCCAAGTTCTTTGGCTGTAAAAAAATATATAATCCTGCACTGAAGTAAGTAAAAACGCAACAGCATGTCTCAAATACATTGAGAGTGGTCTGTCTGTCAATTCCTCCGCCGTATCCTGAAATCTCCCGTCCTTCGCCCTGACTCCCCCACGGTCTGAGTGGCTCCCCGAGCCGGTCCGTGGCAGGAGCCGGCTCAGCGGGTCAAGGCGCCTGCTGCCGAGTCTGAGCACTCCAACCCCAGGGCCCACATGGTAAGGAGAACTAAATCCCTACAAGGTTCTCTGACCTCCACACTCACACGGCCTACACGCACCTACACACAAAATACATAAATATAATAAAAATACTTTTCTTAAATACAATATTGAGCCTGAGAGGTGGCACATACCTACAGTACCAAAAGTGTGGAGGTGGAGCAGGAAGATCCAGCCACAGCTTTGTAACAAAGGAGTTTGAATCTAGCCTGTGCTACATGACCCTACCAAAAGGAAGAAATGGGGTGGGGGAGACAAGTAGGGAGGTGGGGAGGAGAGAGAGGGAAAGGCAAAATATTGCAACGGAACTAATTTAGAAGTAGAAGAACCAAGCTACCTTCTAGTTCACTAAAGAAACACACCCCAATGTCACTCTTATCACTGAGCTTACTTAGAAACATACTGATTTTTTGCTAGGACTCCTAGCAATAGTGGAGAGGGTATTTGAATAGGTTTTCTCCTTTAATCAGACTGGTGACCACCCTAACTGTCATCAAAGAACCGACATCCAGTAACTGATGGAAGCCGATGCAGTGACCCACAGCCAAGCATGGGCTGACTCCTGGAGTTCAGCTGAAGACAGGGAGGAACCATATGAACAAAGGGGTCCAGATGATGATGGGGAAAACCAGAGAGACAGCTGACCCGAGCTAGTGGGAGCTCACAGACTCTGGACTAACAGCTGGGGAGCCTGCAAGAGAACCAATTAGACTCTCTGAATGTGGGTGACATCATGTGACTTGTTCTGTTGTGGGGAGGGCCCCTAACAGTGGCACCAGGACATATCCCAGGTGCATGAACTGGCTTTTTAGAACCTATTCCCTAAGGTGGGATACCTTGCTCAGCCTTGATACAGTGGAGAGAGGCTTGGTCCTGCCTTAACTTGTTATGCCAGACTTTGCTGACTCCCCAAGGGAGGCCTTACCCCGTCTGAGGAGCAGATTGGGGGTGGGAAGGGGGAACGCGGAAGAAGGGTAGGGAGAGGGAACTGGGGTTGGTATGTAAAATGAAAACTAAATTTTTTAAATAAAATAAAAAGAAATATTTTGATTTTTCATTAAACATATACTAATATGTAATAGGTTTACCATTGTTTTTAAATAAACATTTTAAATTTGAGATTACATTCTCTAAGGGTCCTGACATAAAGATTCGATGGCCACTCTTGTACAGCCACATCTCAGGCTTCACAAAGGAAGTTATATGATGACGGGATTTTCTGAACATAATCAGAGATAAGTGGAGGTTCTGGCGCATTGCCTAGAATGTTCAGTCCTGACTTTAAAGAAGAAAGAGAAGGAAAAGAATCATGCTATCAGGGGCTAGTGTGAGGGAGGAGGGATAAGCAGAGGAACCAGACACCACGCGCTGGTAACTGTTAAAGCAGACGACAGAACACAGCCAGTAAAGCACCGTCTACTTTTAAACATGCTTAGCATTCCCAGGTGAAAGGGCTAGTTAAATACATAATGAGGACGATGCAGCTCCCTTACCGAGATCTGCCCTCCATGGGCTGTCTGTTAAGGATCTGAATAGGTCCCCGAGCTCGAGAATGAATTTTGTCATCCACCATGTGCTTCAAACGCTGGTAGTAAGTGGGGCCAATAAAAATCTGTGATGTGATTTTTCGACCAGTGAATCCATTGTAGAGTACCTAAAACAAACACAGGTTTTTCTGCATTTAACTAAAAATATTAAACAAGTTCAAAAATGCATATGCACATACTCTATACTCCTATTTACATAAATCTAAACTAGTTACCTTGGGATGGAAGGGGACTTTCTGGGTAATTTCTTTCCTCGGTGTGGGTTTTAGACCCACAGATGTGTTTACTTTGTGAAACTTCATCATGTTGCATGCTAATGACTTGTACATGTAAAAGGCTTTGTTTTAAAGAATCAAAGTACACCACACAAAACGTGCTTGTTACCTACACATAACAAGGTGTTTGTGATAGTCAATATACCTCATTTCCTCTGAGATGGTAGCCATAATCAGATAAAAGATTGGAAATCTTCTGCACATTGACAGCATCATTAAATGGAGTGGCATCACCAATTTCACCTTTGTTAGCCGAGACCTTTGGAATAAAAGCATATGTGAGAGAAATTACAGACCAATAAAGATATACTCAACTAATAAAATATTTCCTATAGAAGAAAAGATTTTAAAATTAAAACCTATTATAAAAATTGTGATACATTGAGATTCATTTTATTAATATTTTACCTAAGATATCTGTAACAAAGTAATTCCCCCTCCCCCAAAAAAAGGCTAAAAAGCTCTCTAAGACAAGTCTTATCCATGGGACCATGTGAGATCATTTACTAAGACATCAAGAAGCCCAAACACCTCTGATGTACTCAAGGAAAAATCTTAATGTCTTAAAATGACAAGTCATTAAGTCGCTTATGACATTAAGTGATAAACAGACATTCATGTGTTAGACTACCACTATTCTACTTTAACAAGATACCCAAAACCAGAAAAACTTTCCCTGAAAGATACATATACAGTTGATACCAAAATTTTAATATTCCTAAAGCCATACTGAGCAAACCATCCATGAATTAACTCACTTATAGAAAAGAGTTAGCTGCTATTACTACAAATGTATGTAAAAGCTGTATGTATTCTATCTTGGGAAAAAAAAATTTGTCTTGAGTCCCAATGGCCGCTAGCACAAGGTACTTATGCAAAAATTCTTACTTGGCAAAACTGCAATTTTTGTATATGCAAATACACGGAGTGTATTGATGTATGTATGTGTATGGGAAGAGAATACACATCCAGGTATAGAGGCCAAAAGAGATCATCAGGTGTGTTGGCTAGTCTGTCAACCTGAAACAAGCTAGAGTCATCTGGGAAAGGAGCCTCAGTTGAGGGACTGCCTCCAGATCACCCTGTGAAGCACTATCTTGATTAGTCATTGCTATGGGAGGGCTCAGTCCACTAGGAATGGTACCATCCATGAACAAGTGGTCCTAGGGCATACAAGAAAACAAATTGGGCAAGCCAAAGGGAGAGGTACTAATAGGAAGTGTGGCTTTGATGGAGGAAGTGAGTCACTGTACAGGTAGGCTTTGAGGTCTCCTATGCTCAAGCTACACTCAGTGAAGTGACACAGTTCACTTCCTGTTGCTTGTGGCTCAAGATGCAGACTCAGCTCCTTCTCCAGCACCATGCCTATGCACATCACTATGCTCCCTGTCATGATGATAATGGACTAAACCTCTGAAACTGTAAGCAAGCCACCCAAATAAATGTTTTCCTTAAGTGTTGCCACGGTCACAGTATCTAGCCACAGTAATAGAAACCCTAAAACACCCTTTCTTCCTTAAGTTGTTTTTAGTCGTGATGCTTTATTTATCATGGCAACAGAGATAATAAGACATGAAGTTTCTTGGTCCAGCATTCTTCATATTCCCCTGAGAAAGTCTCATTCACTGAACTTGAAGCTGAGCTCATGACCAACAAGCTACAGTGATTCTCCTGTCTCCACACACATCAAAGCACTGGGGTTATAACTCCCCCACCTGGGTTATTTATATATTTAATTTATTTATGCAGAGATCAGAGGTCACCTTGTAAGGATCAGTTCTGTCCTTCCATCATGTGAGTTCAGGTCTGAACTCAAGTTTTCATGCTTTGTAACACTCACCCTTACTTGCTGAGCCATTTTACCAGCCCCTGGTATGGCTTTTCACATGAATGAACTTGGGTCCTCATGTTTACATAGCAAATGCTCTCACCCACTGAGTCACCTCCCTAACCTGCCCCTATTGGAACCTATTGTTTTTGAAGATAAAATCTTACCTTCCCTTGAAGACATTCAATCAAGTGACCAATGGTCATCCGAGAGGGGATGGCGTGGGGGTTTATGATGATATCAGGAGTGATGCCTTCACAGGTGAAAGGCATATCCTACAAAGAAAATTTTAAGAGACTTAGAGATACTGGAATCTCTCAGACATAGCTACAGCTCACACTGCTCGGCTGATTCTATGTCTTATTCTCTTCAACATGGTGGGTTAACAAACACTAAAATTTTTTTAAAAATCAAGTTACAGAAAATTTTAACTTTCAATACAACTCTGGGCTAGGCCTGAGAAAGACCAAAGGCACCTACCTCTTGTCTATACTGAATACCACAAGTGCCTTTCTGACCATGTCGGCTAGCGAATTTGTCTCCAATCTGTGGAATTCTAACGGAGCGTACCTGATTTCACAAAAGAATAGGTTAGAACCTGAAATGCAATTACTTTCTAAAACAATCTACATGAATAAAGCTATACTCACCCTTATTTTACAAAATTTATATCCTTCCTGGTTGAGAGTTACCATAACCTGGTCCACAATGCCTGTCTCGCTGGTCCTGAGGAAGGTGCTGCAGTCTCTCTTGGTGTAGCGTCGGTTGGTGCTCTCCAGCTCATCCTCGTTCTCAGGCAGGGTGACTGTTTTGCCTATGATGACATCATCTCCCGATACACGAACCCCTGGAGCTATCAAGCCATCATCATCCAACTTGTCGTAAATGGCATGCCTCATACCTGTGAGGAATCAGACAAGGACTTTTCTTAAATGACACTAAATAAAAGTATCTAAAATGCCACATAATTCCCCAAACAAGCATGAAAAAACCACATACATAACTCTGTTCCAAATCAGTGATAATTCATAGAAAATCGCTAATGCCACAAATCCTGCTCATTGTTGTCCTTATTACAAACACTATAAACTTTTGCACTCTGATACCAAAATTAAAAACAACAACAACAAAAATATACTATATCTGGGCATGGTAGCACATGCCCTTAATGTCAGCACTCAGAAGGCTGAAGCAGACAGATCACTATGAGTCCAAGGTCAGCAAAGACTACATAGCAAAATCCTTGTTTCAATATGATGGTGGGGAGGGAATGGGTCTGTAGTGATGGGTCAGCAGTTTTAGATCACTGGCTGCTCCTCCAGAGGACCCAAGTTTGATTCCCAGCACCCACATGGCAGCTCCTAAGTGTCTGTAACTCCAGTTGGATGCCCTCTTCTGGCTTCCATAGTTATTAGTCTCATATGCAAGCAAAACACTCATACACAGCCAGGCAGTGGTGAAGCACAGAGAATTTCAGGACAGTCAGGCACAGAGAAACCCTGTCTCAAAAAACAAACAAACAAAACAAAACAAAAAAAATAGACAGAAAATAAAAATAATTAAAAGAAAAACAGCAGCCAGGCGGTGGTGGCGCACGCCTTTAATCCTAGCACTTGAGAGGCAGAGGAAGGCAGATCTCTGTGAGTTTGAGGTCAGCCTGGTCTACAATAGCTAGTTCCAGGGCAGGCTCCAAAGCTACAGAGCAACCCTGTCTCAAAAAACCAAAAATAAAAAGGAGGTGGAGAAGGAGGAGGAGGAGTAGGAGGAGACTATACAGGCCTATCAGAAGAGGAGAAGGAGGAAGAGGAGGAGGAGGAGGAGGAGGAGGAGGAAGAGGAAGAGGAAGAGGAAGAGGAAGAGGAAGAGGAAGAAGAAGAAGAAGAAGAAGAAGAAGAAGAAGAAGAAGAAGAAGAAGAAGAA